GAGCCCTAGCACAAGGATTCCTTCCAGGAAATACTCAGAGCCAGTGCAAATTCCATCTGAGCCAAGAATTTGCTTTTCCTGTTTAAAATACCTCTGGACAGCCTGGATGGCATGGCTCAGGAGTTGAGTGTCAACTTATGAACCAGGTGATTCCTGGGCAGGGCACATGCTTGGGTTTTGGGCTCGACCCCCAGTGGGAGGCGTGCAGGAGGCAGCCGATCAATGATTCTCTCGCATCATTGATATTTCTATCTCTCCCTCTCCCTTCTGCTTTGAAATCAATAAAGAAATAAAGACATCTATACATACCTTTGGATGTTTCTCTGAAAGTTGATAACACAAGGGCAGAAATAGATTCTCTCACCTTTTGGTTTTGATTGCTAATTTTGGGGTAGAAGGAGTGTAGTTAATTCCCCCTCAGGACCACCTATTTCCTAGGGGAGGGAGAGAAAGCTGAAGAACAATTCTTCAAAGACTCTCTTCTAGGAAAAGGCTCTGGTCTTAGTCCTAGTCCCCAGGAGGATGACTCAACCTACCTCAGCAAATGAAAGTTAAACACATACAGACACATACTCACACATAATAAACATAGGTGACTTTATTCTTCCTCACACCTTGGTTTAGGGCAGACATAAATCCTTTTTCTTCCCAAACTTCTTTTGTTTTAAGCTCAGTGTTGGCTCTGTCAGGCTAGTGCATGTCCACCTGAGCACCTAAGAGGAACAATGTCACCTAAACCATGAGGTGTCATTGTCTACTCTTGCAGATGTCTGCCCCCAGTGCCCAGAAGTCTTGTCAACACCCAGGGGATACAGACACCTAGGTGACTGGATTGAAAATATTTAAACACAATAGTTGGCATATACAGCAATTGCATTGCAAAGTAATGCTATATAATAAAGAGCTAATATGCAAATGGTTGTCACACCCTCACATTGCAAAACAGTAAGGGCTCAGACACTCAACACTGGGGAGAGAGCAATGGGGACCAACCAGGCACAAATGAGCTCCCAAGAGAGAAATGGGGACTAGCCAGGCACAAATGAGCTAGTGAGAGAGGAATGGGAACCGGCCAAGCTGCGGCCTGTGAGAGGGACAGCTACCAGCCCCACAGTCCTGGGCACCATTGACTACACCTGTGCCTGCAGCCCGGGAGAGGGACAAGCCACCCACCCACCCTGCAGTCCCAAGCACCTGTGGCTTCATCCCAGGCTAAGCCACCAGCCCACAGACCCTGTGACTGTGGCTGGCCAGAGGGAGGGGAACCCAGGTCTCGAGTGAGGTTTGAGGCAGAGGTGGTTAGGGGTGATCAGGGCAGCAGGGAAACAGTTAGGGGTGATTAGGCCAGTAGAGAAGCAGTTAGGGGCAATCAGGCAGGCAGGCAGAGGTGGTTAGTGGTGATCAGGTGGGCAGAGGGGTTAGGGGCAATCAGGCAGGCAGGCAAGCAGTTAGGAGCTAGCGGCCCCATATTGGGAAGGCAGTCAGACCCCTGAGGGGTCCCGGATTGGGGAGGGTGCAGGCCAGGCTGAGGAACGCCCCCCTTCCCAATCTCCATGCACAAGTTTCATGCACTGGACCTCTAGCATATATATATATATATTTTTTTTTTCATTTACATGCATATTCATTTAGAATTAAAATTTTAATTCAAACACTGTTTTTCAGTTGGTAGAAGATTGAATAAAGCACTTAATTTTCAGGTTATCAGCTGCTTTGATATTTTTTATATATGATACTAAGTCTGTTCATTTCCTATATATATTTGGCAGGTTTTAAGAATCATATTTTGAGATTATTTATAGAGTTTTACCCTTAAGTTTACCTTTAAACTTACATTTAAATGTGAAATTACAGTATTGTTAAAGATGTAAATTAAATGTTTTTAAGTGCATTTCTTAAAAATGTGTATAACTTACAGGAAATAAAAGTTTTCATTACGGTATATCATTTGTTTCAATTTCAGAAGACTAGTATTGCTAAAATAAAAAATGCTCCAAGCATTAGTGGAAAATGAAATACCTCAAGTCTTATTCCCAGCTGTTTAATGCATTAAATTGCTAAGTGCCATGTAACAAGTATTTGACTTCTTAAAGTCTGCTTTTATAGAAAAAAAAAAAAAGCATAAATATATTAGAGGTATAATACTAGGGACCATGAAATTAAAATAGCCTTTTACATGCTTTAACATTACAGATTTTTCTCATTTCTAGTTCTCAAAGTTTTTCTAGTTATGCTTGTTTACTTTAACTGAAAGCACAGGTCCTGTGATACTTTTACATCATCCCTCAGTAAGCAGCCACTAAGAGGCTGGTGGTAATCTTGCTTTGGGCCAATTTCCAAAGACAATAAAGTATTGTTTTTGTTTTCTCCTACTTACCTTTTTATCTCCTGATAGGTCCACATAAGGCTTTCCAAACTCTTTCTTAATAACATCACTGAAAACTTATTTCAAACTAGCAGAATTGTCTTAGCTGATGCCATTTTGGTCTCAGCCCTTCTGCTAGCAGATGTAATAATAAATGTATCATTCTTTACCACTCCTACTCACCCCCCCAAAAAAAAATAATTGACTTGGCTTTATAGGAACACTAGAGGCCCAGTGCACAAAATTCATATACAGGCAGGGTCCCTAGGCTGGCTGGCAATCAGGGCCAATCGGGGCCTCTCTTCCCCAGCTGCAGGCTGCCCAGATGAGAGCTCGGTCTGGATGACATTTTTTTATTTAAATATTGTTGTTATACAGTATTATATTTGTTATATTAGCTTCAAGTGTACAATAGTGATTTGACATTTTTAAACCTTGATTTCAGTGTCATAATACCTTGAGCAGAGAGCCCACTCACACCTTGACAAGCATCTCACATACAGAACTGAGAGCTAACAAATGAATGTCTCTTAAAGTCACTAAGTCACTAAATTTGTGGTCTTTTGTTACACCATAGTTTTAAAAACTCATATATCTACAATACACTTTCATAATCAACTCATCATACTTCTGGAAGCACTTCAAATTTCTACAAAATAAACACACACACACACACACACACAAAAAAAAATCGTATTGACCTTGTATGATGTCCTTATTTTAAATTTATGGACTACTTTGGAGACGGATCTGCATTGCCTAGGGGCTCATTGTCTCCCTTCTTTCGTAGCTTATCACAGAGCAGGCTCAGTGGATCTGTGCTGGCTCAGTGGAAAGAGCAGGTACCAGCCACGGAGCTTCAGTGAACTCTGCCTTTCAGGCAATATCACTTTCTCAACCCTGAGGCTTATCCTGTTACAAAATTGGCCTCCCAGAGCACACTGCGCATTAAGATAAGCAGGCTCTCCTATCTATCAGCCTATACATTTCTCAGTAAAACCTATGTCATATCTGCCAGTGAGGCAATCTGTGTCAGTGACCTCTTGATACAACCTAAATCCTCCTCACACATTGTTCCTGCAACTCCAAACTGTTCTTGGTTCTCACACCCCATTTCTCTACTTCATACATCTTGACATAAAGTCTTCTAATCCAAGATCATGCTTGTGTTGCTATTTAAAGTTGTTTATGTTTCTTAGTAATGCTTTAGAGTTCTTTTTGCAATAGATTATGACTTGCTTTTGGACTACTTCTAAGAACTATTAAAAAAAAACTATAGCTCTCAAAGCTATTATGTTGACTTTTTTCTATTTATAACTAATCTATGATGGTTTAGAGAGAAACTTTCAGATCTGTATCTCTCTCTTTTGATTTTTAACTGGACACAGTTTCATGTTTACTGGTCATTACGTGAATGAAAGAATAAAGAAGTTGTGTTCTTAAATGGGACCATTTACCTAGGAAAGTCCTTTGATCCTGAAAGAATGGATCTATAATGTGTCATTCAGACCACATCTGACTGAGACCTTAAATGCCTCCAACGTGTGTGTGCATGCTGTTGAAGTAGTAGATAGCAAAAAGAGACCATGTTTCCATCACTTTTTGTCCATTGTTCTTCACTTAAAGTTCACACCATTCCTACTGGCTTAAAAAGAGAAAGATGTAAATGCGTTTAGAATGCAACTGATCAGGATATACATAATAAATTTATTACAAATAAAAATAAAATCATTAATCACAATAAATGGGAAAACAAGAAGGACTTTATTTTTACAGAAAATTCTTATTACCTATTAGGGTATAAAATGGTGTGGAATCACCTGGATATATTAAGGTGTCTTGTTTTTTTTAACCATGTGAAGTTTATATATTAATCAGCACAAAGTTTTTTCTTAGAATTGTCTTCAATAGAAATTATCTGTAGATTACATAGGTACCATTTAGAATAAATATAGAAATAAGTATAACGTTCTCTTCAATTTTTCCAACAAACTATGGTGGCTTAATGCCTTTTAAAAAGAGGGGAGCACCCCTATGCTCATAGCAGCACAATTTACAATAGATAAGACTTGGAAACAGCCTAAGTGCCAATCAGCTGATGAGTGGATAAAAAACAACAACTGTGGTACATTTACACTATGGAATACAACATGGCAATAAAAAAGAAAGAATCCTTACCATTAGCAACAGCATGAGTGGACCTAGAGTATTATGCTGAGCAAAATAAGACAGTCAGAGAAAGATGAGTATCACATGCTCTCACTCATATATGGAATTTAATGAACCAAATAAACTGATGATCAAAAATAGACCCAGAGACAAAGGAGCATGAACAGACTGTTGAACCTCAGAGGGAAGTCAGGGGAAGGTGGGTGGAAGAGATCAATCAAGGAACTTGTATGCATAAATGCATAATTCAAGAATACAGACAATAGGGTAGTGAGGCCCTGGGGGTGTGGGGAACAGCCTGGAAGAGATTAATGGGGGATAAAGGAGGATCTATGTAACTTTCAACAATAAAGATTTTTAAAAAGGGAGGAGGGGATCCTTTAAAAGGACAACAGACTCCAGAAGACATCATAATTTACTTAAAATAAATGTTATCATTTATTATTAATAGTTAGTAATGAAAAGCACACATAGAGCCATGCTTTCTTTCATTAAAACTCTACAAAATTAAAGTTTTCTAATTACACTCTCAACCCTTAGATGTCATCTATAGTTAAATTTTGGCTAAAATGTTTGAAAAACTCAGTAAGAAGAGTGTTTATGAAACATGAATTACAATTTAAAATAAAATTACTTAAAATATGGATTGTTAAGTTCTTCTAATTTTCATTGAAACAGATTTAATCTTGACAGGCGAGTGGTTTTTGGTCCATGTGCCCCATTGAATTCCAAAATTGCAAGCAGTTTTCCAGGGAAGCGATGAATGGGGGGTTAAGTAAAAAGTCAAATTTTACCTTAAAACATGTCAATAAAAAGCCAGTTGAAATATTATAGCAAGTAACAAAATTATGTGTCCTGGTAAATATAAGAGGTCTAAACCTCCAAATCGACACCTTTTAATGAGACATTCCCTGATAATGCTCAGTTGAAATAATTTTTTTCCCGTCTTTGAGACTAATGCTTTGTGAACAAATATTTCTTTGTTATAATGCAGGTTGTGAATTACCGTATTTTTTGGACCATAAGACGCACTTTTTTCCCCCCAGAAGTGGGGGGAAAAAGTCCCTGCGTCTTATGGTCCAAATATAGCCTACACATATACTTTAAAAAAAAAGTTTTTTTACTTGCCCGGCTCTGTGTGGTTCTGTGTGCTTGCCCAGCTCTAAAATGATTCTAAATGCTGCTGTTTACTTTACAGGGTTGATTACATGTGTTTATGACTGTGATGTTGGGTTTTAATGCACATAAAATATTTTAGGACACTATTTGTTTCAGAATCTTTTTTTCTTCATTTCCCTTCTCTAAAAACTGGTGCGTCTTATGGTCCGGAGCGTCTTATGGTCCGAAAAATACGGTACCTACAATGGGAACATAATGTAATAACATTAGAGTATCCCCAGATTTAGGGTCAATATTTCCAAGACAATTGTAGATCTACTGAAGGAAGTAAGGGCCCAGTCAAAATACACTTCAGAGAGTTTGGGGGACAATGCGACAGCATTCAAACTCTTCAAACTATAGCTAAGATACTAAGTCCCTCTCCAGGGCTTACAGATGTATTTTAGCTACACACCCAATTGAAATTGAAAATTATCCTGAAGAAGTAAGGGAAGAAGGGGTGTACAGGAAGTAATAAAGAAATGCAGGAAGTAAAATGGGTCCTCAAGGGTCTGTGACTACTCTCAAATCTATGATTGTCCATTTTAAATGTCCCTGTCATCACTTCTCTCTGCCATCACCACAAATTTAAGGTGTAAGATAGTTAGCTTAATCATAAGTTGTTTAAAATATAAATGAAGTACAAAGCAGTCTGTTTGTGTGAAAAAAAATCAGCCTGAAGACCATTTTATCAAAACTCATATAATTTCCCCATAGAAACAAGCATAATATATGCTAAGGAAGATGAAAATTCAAAGGCTGAATTCAGGAAGAAACACTCACTGGAAATTTATAGGTTGATGCTGAGAAAATACCAGTATGTTAACTACACTTCATAACATGGCAGATATTTGGCCTTATACATAACATTTTATTACATTTCATGTCTCTTCTAAAATCACTTGTATTCAGTGCTAAGTCCTTGGATGACATTATTATGGGATGCTAAAGATTTAAATTATAACAACAGTAACTTAAACTAGCATAAAAATGATGGAAATCACCTGCAAACATTCCAACAATGTAAAAATCTATAGTTTTCAGAAATACTGATTTTTATATTTACCATCAAAAGTTATGCTGTTGTGTGGCAACAATGTAAACAGATTTTACAATCAACCTGAGGTTTACATTTTTCAGATTTTGAATATAGTGATTTTAATTGATATTTTTATAAAACACTACTCCCAGTTCACATAACTCGAATTTGTACAGTCACATACCTAAATTCTCCATTTAATTTGCTTGTGTAGACCCAGCATACATCTGAAGAATTTCAAGGTTTATGACAACCATGCCCATACATTTTTCATTCTACAGATAGTTGTTGAGCACCTGCCAGAACTCTTCTGGGTACATAGAAGATACTTAATAAATACCCAATTTAGAATTTTTACTCAAATCACTACCCCCCATCCCCCATCCCCGCACAACTTTTGTGCACCAGGCCTCTAGCATTTTTATATTCACAGTATTTACTATTTTCTTACTAACAATTTGACCACAAGACAGTCTATAGGTGTAATGCCGAAAAGAAGAAAAAAAGATAAAGGAAAAATAAATATAATTTGATCTAAAAGGTCACCAAATCCATCCAGATAATCACACCACAACCTTTGGAAATCAATTATTCCATTAATCCTTTTCTGTATCACAGTCCATCCACCTCCTCTGTAATCCATGTCACACATTACCTAAAATAGACCAAGAAAAGACAAAAATAACATACTATGACTTTCATTCTTTTATATAAAACTCATGCTTCAACCTTAAGCCAAGAGGAAGAAAAGATGCTCTCACTGAAAGTTTCAATACAATTGTATAATATTAATATATTCAATAAATAGATGCAGAGACTATACTTCCATTAACTATAAGTTTGTTTTATGATAAACTAAATTCTTTGTAGAAATTTAAATGTCATTTCTATGGGTTCCTGTATCCATCATTTTTTTTAAACATATAAGGGTTTGTAGCATTTTAAGGTTATTCTCTTATCCCTTGATATTATGGGCCCTTACTTCCTTCAGTAGATCTACAATTGTCTTGGAAATATTGACCCTAAATCTGGGGATACTCTAATGTTATTACATTAGAGATATTACATTAGAGTATCCCCAGATTTAGGGTCAATATTTCCAAGACAATTGTAGATCTAACGATATTACATATCGTTACTTTTACTTTCATCTTTTAAGTTGTGGCAGAGTGGTGTATTTCTTTACAAATTAACTTTTCCTTTGAATGAAAATGTTGATATTATTTAAAAACTACAGTGTACCTGTCTTTGATTGTTTTTTTCTCCTAAAACCTGGGAGGACTATGTGTAGACTGCAATTTTCAGGCACAGAGGTATGATCTGGGTCCCATCTCTGCAGGCACTCATAGGTATATCTGCAGGGACAGGTGTAAAATGCCCCTAAGAGGACAATTGTAGGGAGCCCACAGAAGTGACATAGGGGGAATCAGAGCAATCCTCTCCAGTAGAAACTTCCTGCTGCAGAGAAAGGCAGATGGAGGGAGCTAGGGAACAAATGCTTTCCCACAAAAGAGGTAATTATGTGTCCTACTCTTAAAAAATTAGAAGCCTCCTTTTTCCACATCTGTTCTGGCCCATTTTTTTAATTAAATAATTTAAAAATTATTTCCTGCCTAATTCCTAATTTTTTGGCATCTTGTGAATAGGTGTCAAAGAATAATTTGACCTAAAAGGTCACCAAATCCATCCAGATAATCACACCACAACCTTTGGAAAGCAATTCAAAGAAAAGAAATTACTAGTATCTACGTAGTTAGAAAAAATTATTTTATTGGTGTAATAAATACTATCAACAAACTGTAATAAACTTTCTTATGCATAAAGAAGTATAAGAAAAATTATATAATATATATATAAATATACAGAATTTCTAGTAAAAATTACTTCTAGAAATTCAATATAGAACTACTGAGAATAGGCAGCAATAATTTAATTCATTCAATTTATGAATGGATCAGTTTTTCAATGTTTCACTTTAATGTTTTTTAATTAATAACTTATACAATCACACAAAGCCTCTTATCATACAAAAAAATTGTAAGTATATATAGGAAGGTAAATCAAAAGTATTTTTTAGTGAACTCTAAGGCAAAGCACTCCATTATTTTTTAATATTTATAAGCTAATTAAAGCAAGTAAGTATTTATATTGCACAATTCTGCCTACTGTAAGGCTAATATAAGATCCTACACCAGCCCGCCAGTGTGGCTCAATGGTTGAGTGTCAACTTATGAATCAGGTGATCACAGTTCAATTCCTGGTCAAAGCACATGCCCAGGTTGCAGGCTCAATCCCATTGTGAGCATGCAGGGGGCAGCCAACCAATGATACTCTCTCATCATTGATGTCTCTCTCTCTCTCTCTCTCTCTCTCTCTCTCTCTCTTTCTCTCTCTCTCCCTTCCTCTCTAAAATCAACAAAAATATGTATTATAATATGTTTTATTGATTTTTTACAGAGAGGAAGGGAGGGATAGAGAGTTAGAAACATCAGTGAGAGAGAAACATCAATCAGCTGCCTCCTGCACACCCCCTACTGGGGATGTGCCTTTAACCAAGGTACATGCCCTTGACTGGAATCGAATCTGGGACCCTTGAGTCCATAGGCTCAAGCTCTATCCACTGAGTCAAACCGGTTACGGCAATAAAAAAAAATTTTTTTTTAAAGGTTCTAAATCAAAAGAATTTACTTTGAAAAGTATAACCATGAAAACTCAGAAAAGTGAAAGACTCTGTAGTCCCTTTACACATTTGTGGTTTGGGCAAAGAACTTTAAATTTGAAACTAGAACTTATACTAACTTATTTAAAATTTTTCAAGAGATATGTTAAGTATTAAAGCAATTAAATTTTAACATTAATTAATTTGGTTAGATATTTATCCTATTTCTTTTAATAAGGGAAAACTTTACCTCAAATGGATAGCTAGATCCTTCTGGGTAGATTATATATAAACCACTTGGTGTTTTGGTGACAGAGCCAACAGTATCTTTAATAGCAGTACAATCTAAACCTAGAAAAGTAAAATTAGTTATTTAGGATATTTTCAAGTGTACATTTAAGATAATAACTTTACTGTAGAGAATTAACAGTGTTCTTTGAGATTATTACAAATTCCATTAATGATATGGTGATTTTAACTCATGGAAATGAAACATGATCTCAGTTTTTGAAATAAGGAAAAAATACATGGAAAAACTGGTTATCTGTAATAGTGCACATGAAGTGTTTTTCTTCTCGTGTAGTTTTAGTTTTAATATCACATGATTTCTCACATTCTTCTTTATAAACAGTATCGTTACTTTTACTTTCATCTTTTATATGAGACATATTTTCTACAGTGTTAACTACTGGAGAATCCTTTACAATAAAAACAACAGAAATAAGAAAAAATATATGAAGCATGTTATATGGTCTAATTACACAATAAATAAAAAGACTAAAGGGAAAAGATGAACTGTTAAGAACATAAAAATGATTATTAGGAAAAAAAACATGTTAATAAATTGGTTAGTTCAAATTTCCATAAATAAACCTTATAGGTAGATTTGGGGTATGAATAATAAGTATATGTTAATTCAATACTTTTGTTTTCCTCTTTTCTTCTCAAATTCCTAAAGGACTGACAGTCAACCGTTGCTATCCACGGGATTGATATCCAAATCGACAGATGCTCAAGTCCCTATGTAAAATGGCATAGCATTTGCATATAATCTATACATATCTTCCAGTATACTTTAAATTATATCTAGATTACTTGTAATACCTAATATAATGTAAATGCTGTGTAAATAGTTGTTATGCTGTATTGTTTAGGGAGTAATAACAGATGAAACCATCGTAGGCCTAACTGCATGGTAAACATTGCAGCAATGTAACTTTTTCCCCAAATATTTTCAATCTACAGTTAGTTGAATCTTGGATGTAGAAGCCGTGGATACAGAAAGCCAACTGCACTTAGGGTCTACAGTCTATAACGATAGCTGTGTGGCTTTAATGTTTGCCCATTTGGGACAGGGTGATACAGTGCTGAGTCATCCCCCTTGTAGGAATCTGCAATTTTAAGTTCCTTGAACATAGACTAAGAGGGTTCCCTACAACATTTCTATGCCAAATGGACTTTCTGCCACCAGTAATTAGGAATCGTGTCGAGGGGCAGAGTTTGAGAAATGTATAAGGGAATTGTAACGTTTGTATGAGGTAAACATTTAAAGATTTAAAAATAAAATACTCAGGTTTGAAAGGTAGCAATAACAACAGAAAAAAAAAAAAAAAAAAAGCATGGAATTTTGCTTTGCAAAATCAACAACAGATGTTATTTTAAAAAGCAAACTGCAGCCGAAACCGGTTTGGTTCAATGGATAGAGCCTCGGCTTGGGGACTGAAAGGTCCCGGGTTCGATTCTGGTCTAGGGCATGTACCTTGGTTGCGGGCATATCCCCAGTAGAGGGTGTGCAAGAGGCAGCTGATTGATGACTCTCTCTCATCGATGTTTCTAACTCTCTATCTCTCTCTAACTCTCTATCTCTCTCCCTTCCTCTCTGTACAAAATCAATAAAATATATTTAAAAAAAAAAAAAAGCAAACTGCAGCAGTCATTCAAACAATGTCTATTCTGTTAGTACTCTGGTTTCTTCAATGTTAAAATATTAATTGATAGAAGTTATATCGATTTAAATAACATATTTTTTAATAACAAGCTTTAACTTCGTTAGACCTGGATATTGAGAGAATGATAAACACATTTTGTTACATAGATTTATTTTTAACTTCCTGCTCTTTCTCTTCTACTCCTATAATAACTGACAACTGTTGTTGAAAAACCTACATTAAAGGTTATTTTTTCAGACTTAAATAAGATGCTTAAATAGTTAGTATTTTTAGAGAATTAGATTATTAATATTTCTGTAGCTTCCCTAGAATTTATTCTTCCTTAACCTTGGAACTTTGGAATTTATCATCTATACAGTGATAAAAACATTTCATAATGTTTTAAAATATATTAACCAATATTTAAATATGTAACATTCAAATCCCATCTCTTCATAGTATTGTCTACACTATATTAAGTTATTATTCTGACATTATTTTGAATGACATTTTCTAACATCACAAGTAACCACTCACAGACTATATTGGAAATGTGAAAGTTTATAGAATAGGGTTTTTATAAGTGAAGTGAATTTTTTTTTATTTTTTTTTTTTACTTACCATATTGTTCATTATCAAAATTAACCAGAAAGTTGCTGGCTAGTTTTTAACCTAGGCCTGCAATTTGAATAAAATATTCTCACAAGAAATAGGTTAAGAGTCAATCCTCAGTTTATGGTTTCCTACATTTACAAATAACATTTAAGCAAAGTTTCAACATTTCTAAATAAACACTCTAATTTTGCCATAAATTATATTGGGTGGTATAATTAATCTTTTCAAACATCTAATATAAGTCTATAAAACAGTGTCATCATGCTTTCCTAGCTAAAATAATATTGCTGAAATTCTTATCATAGATTGATACAAACTATACAAACTTGTATAGTTTCTCCACAAATAAAAATACATATATTAAAGAACAAGAGTGAGACTTGGGAAAGATACATTTTTCTTGGAGAAATAAAAAAACTTCTTCAAATATCAGTCAGCTCTCTGTGGAAAGAACTACAGTGCATAGAGTCTTCAGTCAAAACTTTCTGGAAACTGTACAACAAAAACAGAAGCCATTACTTACTGGTTTCCATGCCCTCATTCAAAACAACTCTCTTCACATGAAAAACAAGGTAGCTTCTAGAGATGCTATTTGAAGTTATAAACTACCCTCCCCCCTTTTTTCTTATTACTACAGGTATTCATCATAAATCCATGCCTTTTTAATATGAGCAATAAATAGCTAGATCATGAACTTATAAAGTCACCTAGTTTTTCTGAGTCAGATTTTTTTTTGCATTAGAAAAAAAAATGCCTTTGATAAGATATACCTCAGTAATTATGAGCCAGTTTGAATAAAAATAATAAGTGGAAATAAGTGATGGTGTGGAAACAGTTTTACACTGGAACTATTTCTACAAAATGCTAAATAGAAATTTAATCAATGAGGATATTCAGAGTAGATAGATAATTCAGAGTTAAAATATCTCCTAACTGAATTTAGCTATCAATAATTGTTGTATTAACCTCATAAATGCCAAATTTCTAGGACTCTAATTGATGTGTATGTTTTACATCTAGATTGTTAAAACTTAAAAATTTTTTAACATAAGGGAACTATTATTATTGAAAATTACCACTCTGAAAGTTGATAGATCAATGTCTGTGACAAGTCTTCATTTTCCCATACAATGTCTCCTTTTCTTCATTATGTAAACATAAAAAAGTCTTCTCTATCTTAAAATTAAGAAGCAAAGCAAAACTTTCCTGAGTCTTACTTCCTATTCAGGGCATTATTTTCTCCATTTCCTTTCCTAGTCTGAGAATCACAGGGCAGAGACAATCATTTTTATAGTTCTAGCATAGTGATCCTATATAATAATCCTATATAATAAAAGGGTAACATGCAAATAGACCAAATGGCAGAACAACCAAACAACCAATCAAAGCTTAATATGCTAATAATATGCTAAGGATGCTCAACTGCTTGCTATGACGTGCACTGACCATGAGGGGCAGATGTTCCCACCAGTAGGTTAGCTTGCTGCTGGGTTCCAGCCAATGGCCACTGAGTGAGATGGGCTGGACATGCCCTAGAGCCCTCCCTCAGTCCCTCCCTGGCCCAATCATGCACCAGTGGGGTCCCTCAACCTGTCCTGCACCCTCTCCCAATCCAGGACCCCTCGGGAGATGTAGGAGAGCCAGTTTCAGGCCGATCCCACAGGGCACTCCTTTTGAGAGGGCACCAGGCATAGGGCTCATGGCTGGTGAGAGCTGCTGGGGCAGCATGAGCCACTCCCTATCAGGACTGATTTGGTGGGAGCCCTCGGCAGGCACAGCAGGGCCGGATGAGAGGGAGCAGCAGGTAGGAGCTGCAGGCAGCGTTGCACTGTGGGTTTTGGCCTGATCCCTGCAGGCCACCCAGAGGGACCCCACCCATGCATGAATTTGTGCACTGGGCCTCTAGTTGGTATATAACAGGTACTCAAATATAAATTAAGAAAAAAGATCCTAATGTAATTCTTTATTCTCTAACTTTATTTCCTTAACACCTATTATTTAAACAACTCATCTCTTAACCTAGTGAAAAGTTCTCAGAGTTTCTCCAGTGAGGCAGTATGGGGTGGTTAGGAGTGCTGGCTCTGGGACCAGACTGCCCGGGTTTGAATCTTGAGTCCCCCACTCCCTTGCTCTGGAAACTTGGGCAAAATTACTTAATATCATTGTAGCTTAATTATTTCCCTTGTAGAATGGGGACAGTTGTGTGGATTCAATTATTTAATATATGTAAGCACTTAGCACAGAACATGGAGAACACAAGCACTCATTATCATTATCATTGGTGGTGTCATTATCATTATTTAACTGGAACTATATTACAATTCTAACATTGCTGACAATATCGATGACTTTTGAAAACCACATTAGGAGTAGCTGAGTGTATATCTTAAACCTCAAATGTCCAGTTTAAGTCTTATGAAATTGAAATGAAGATGGTAAAACTTAAGCAATTTTTTTAATCAGCAGACATTAAAATTCTTTTTTCTTTCACAGCTTGCCCAAAGACAATTCTTACTGAAACAAAAAAATACTTCATCAAAAGTTGGAAAAAATAGCATCATCCAAGCTGAAAGTGAAAGCTCAAATATTGCTTATCACAGCTGTCTTGCCATATAAGTCACAAGGTTATAGCGCTATTCAAATTAGATAAGTTATGGCCCGTGCTTTGTAGCCATAAAGTGGTTGTTATTAATTTATGTTATAAATACAACATATGTTTATGAAACCATGTTAATAAAGTTGTGTGTCTAATAAGCATCTCACATGTTACATGTTTGAAGCCTAACTCCTATTCCTTCTTCCATCCTCAGCCCATCCCTCTATCTTAGTATACCGCAATATCCTTTATTCAGCTGCTCCAGTTTCAAATCTGAGTCACATTTAACTCTTTTTTCCCCTACTCACCACAGCCACTCATCAACACTTCTTATTGGCTCAAGGTTAAAATTGTGAACACTTTTTGCCACTCCCATAACTGCCATTGCAGTCCAAGTCGCCATAAATCTCTCACTTGACCAACTACAACATTCAAACCAGCCTCATTGTGTCTAGTTTTATCAGTTATAGTCTAAATTTCCCCACAGCCACTAGTATGATCATTTTTTAAGGTTAAATTCTATCACATTACCCACTTACTCAGAATTCTCCAATGGCATTCCCTTCATTGGGAGTTGGATTTTATATTTATGTCCTACATAATGAATCTGAAGTACATCCCCATGCACTTCTTCAATCTCATATACTAACACACTTCCCCTACCTCACTCTGTTCTATCGAAATACAGTGTGCTTGTTGCTGTTCTCTGGACATATCAAATAACACTGCCCTCAAAGCCTTTTTCCCTTACAGCATCCTTTGCCTATAATATTCTTCATTCAGATATTTAAATGGCAACTACCTTTCTTCATTCAGACCTCTGCCCTAATTTCCCTTTCTCAGAGGACTTCCCTGAACACTGTTCCTAAAATAGAACTGACATCGGTCTTTATTCCCCTTCACTGTGCCATTTTTCCTCGTAGCACTTGTTACTACATGATATATTCTGGAGGGAAAGAAAATAAAAAGACAAGCTTCATGAGCATAGAGACTTGGAAATATTGTTCACCACCAGTACCTGAAAAGCTTGGCACATGCTCAATATATGTTTCCTTAATTAAAAAATAAATAAATTATTTTAGCACTAGACAGTTTAGCTCAGCGGATAGAGCATTGACCTATGGACCAAAGGGTCCTGGGTTCGATTCTGATAAAGGGCACATACCTTAGTTGCAGGCTCCTTCCCTGCCCCGGGCCCTGGTTGGGGTGCATGCAGGAAGCAATCACGTGGATGTTTCTCTTTGTCTTTCCCTCTCTCTTCCACTTTCCCTAAAAATCAATGGGAAAATATACTCAGGTGAGGATTGACACAAAAATAATTATTTTATGGTTTTGGAGGGTGAAAGAATCAAGCATTATCTTTAATATGAGTATCTCCTCTGACAAAATATATAGATTCTAATATATTCTCTTTTTTTGCTTCAATCATATTTGCCTTTCCTGTCAAAAGATCAAGTTTATAACTAAATAAAATTATCTTTCTATTAACCAAATATCTAATCATAAAGCCCTTTTAAAAGAATTTATAATTATATAACTAAATAAAATGTGGAAAACTTGCTTAATATTTTGAAGAAAGAAATAACTTAGGGCCAAAAAATTAGTTCCTGTGATTTATTTTTTAAAAGCTGGCAATATTATGTTTACAATTTACTTATTTTTTTTTGTTATTGTAATACAACATATAAATGAAGAATGTTTATATTAGCAAGTATTTGTGGGCAACCACGTCATGCTAATATACCATACAAAAAAAAGCAGTAAGGTGTTTAGGAGTTATGAGATACTAAACTTAATAATTAGCAAATGCTAGATTTTCAGGAAGCTAAAAATGCCTAAGTACTCCAAACAGCAACAACAATCTTCTCCCTTTTATTTTTATTGTGCACTGCCCTACTTTATTCTCTCTCTCTTCTTCTCTCTTTCTCTCTCTCTCCCGCCCCATCTCTCTCATTGCTCTAATTGGCACTAGAGAAACAGACTTGTGATAATAACGATGAGAATAGAATCAAGGTCAATGTGGCTAGACCAGTTAAAAGCTTGCCATGATGGTTAATCATCCAAATGTACACATTTAGTCTTTCTCTGCCAGAATTATCCTATATAATAAAAGCCTAATATGCAAATTGTCCCCTCCATCAGGAGTTCAACCAAAACATGGGGAGGCACTGGCCAGCAGCTGCGAAGGACCCTACCCATGCATGAATTTCGTGCACCAGGCCTCTAGTATATCATCTTGGCATTGTCCTTAAAAGGGCTTATGTGTTTCGTGTTTCAAGTTAAAATTGGATTTGGCCCTGGCCAGTGTGGCTCATTTGGTGTAGTGTGGTCTCATGCTCCAAAAGGTCACCAGTTCTATTCCCAGTCAGGCAACAAATTAATTCTCACATTGATTTCACTCTTCTTCTTTCCTCTCTCTAAAATCAATAAATATATACATATATTTTTAAACTGGATTTTTTGTGGCACTTTAAAATCTGTTACCAGAGCACCTTTCAAGTCGGTGCGCCCAACTTTGCAAAAACTTTGTTTTAAATAGGTTCAACTGCAAAAGTTTATTACTTAAACTCTAAAAATGAGCTAATTGATTCACAAAGGCAGAAATATTTGAATGATGGATGAGTGATCTTTATTTGGTTTGTACATTATTCTGCTTCCAACCTGGGGAATTTTCCACCTAAATAAAACCCTGGCTGAAATACAGTCTGAATTTATGTGTACTTTTATAATGGGCTCCAACAGAAAAGTTCAGCCTTTTTTCAAATTTTCATTTGTAGAGCCATTACACTGATGGCTCGAACACCCATTTAATTTTCCATACCTCCTGGAACAATTTCAGTATCTCTTTTGGCATATCTTCCCTGGAGATTATTGAGCTAAATCTGATCTTCTTTCGAGGCCACAGATGCTATGATGGTCTATTTCCAGAATCTGGCAGCAAGGCAGGCGCCTTTGAAATGTAAGCCCTTTAGGTAGGGAAAGAGCCAGGAAAAACGACTGCAGGTCCCTGCAGAAGTAGCCTGGAGTGGGTGAGAGAATGCAGAGAAAG